GCTAAAATTCTGACAAACTTCCGGATTTTTTTTTTGGACAAAATATTGCAAGTTGGCCAGATTTGAACAAATATGAAGCAAAGCGTTTGAAGTAGTTACAAAACGACATTTACATTCAAAGCATAATCTATTTAAGTGTGTACTTTGGTTCATAAACGTACAAGAGTTTATTTGATTTAGCCAGAAAAGCAGAAGAGCATTTGTTCTTCAAAAAGTATGCTGCTGGTTTTACAAATGGAGTTTTGTTCTTTACGGAAAAACGAAGGACAATAAGTATGTCTCAATTTATCTTACACATATGGCTGTCATGAAATGAAAATGTATGCGGTTTCGTGAACTGAAATCTGGCTCGCCTGTAGGCGCACGAGAAAGCTGAATTCATTATCTTTGGGTCGTGCATGAACAGGGAATTCCCTCGTAAATTCCAGCTTTCTAGTTTGGTTCTTGAAACCGTTTTCTCATACAATACTTTAACATGTCTGTACGAGAAAGCTAAAAGGAAATGAATATTTAGTTTACGCCTGGTGACCTATCCGTATTTATAGACTAAGTTGATGAAATTTCAACTTCTTAGCTTTTATACATTTTGACATCGAAGCATGCAGATACACACACACAACCTTTCGACAACATGTGTTTTGTGGCGCAACAGCGTTGCAAAACGTACATTGTCGATACCCCATCTGTATGTGTGTGTGTGTGTGTACGTATGTATGTGATGTGTGTACAGATTTTGTTCCACGGCTTTCAAAATTGATAGCCAGAAAAGCTAAGAGGTTGAAATTTTAGAAGGGTGTTTCTTGCTTACGTGTGGCCCAACAAATTAACATTCAGCTTTCATGCATGCTTAGGCCTAATATGTGAGTACGTGAAGATTTTGATGAGGAATATTGCTCATTTGAGAACCAGAAGGGCTAGAAAAGATGAAATTTTAGAAGAATGTGTGCTGCCCATATGCGATCCCGAGATTTCAGATTTAGTTTCTGAGCAAGCCTAAGTCTCACGTGCGAGAACGTGAAAGTTTTGGTGAGGAATTGCTGGCATTCTTCCAATCCCGGAAATAAACACGACAGAAAACTGGAACATTAGAATTCATGCACAGTTCCGAAAATAGGTTTACTTATGAGGGACGGCAGCAAGTTGGACTCTGGTTATATGTTTGATTTGGTTCTGAAAAAAAGTAGTTTTACCTTACTAAGAGCCCGTATGAATGTATTATTGTATCAAAGCAGACACTGTAATATTTGAGGGCTCCTAAGGCTGTATAAAAAGGCCAAAGATAGGTGTTTGTCGAACGAAGCTTTGGTGCACTCTTACGACAAACATCGAAGTGCCTTGCACTATTATAAATGCTGTTTTGCTTGCTAGTGGTACATGGAAGATATTTTTATCCATCACAATAATAAATTCGAAATTCAGTAGTCTGAAATAAAATAATGAGGCAAAGACGTACCAGATCAGCAGGCTCTTTGCATGGATAATTTGGATGAATTCTGTGATGTTTAGCGTGACTGAATGGTGTCACGCTAAGTAAAAACAGTAGTATAGGTGATACTGGTGCAAAGGATATTGTATGTATCAGCAACGACAGTAATGGTATTAGTAGTAGTAATAGTAGTAGCATGCTGTACCGCACTTGATTCTTCCGGAGCATCCAAAATCGTCGTCCAGATCCCGTCCGTCCGTCCGCACTTCCATGACTGCGCGCAAGCGATCTCTATTATGTGTCAACTATAATAACCCACCCAGAACTTCCACTACACCTGTTCGTTTACGTCTGCCGCTACTGCACAAGGAGGCGGGGGCACCAGGCAGCTGGTGCAATCATGCGTTTTGTGCAATTCTGTCCATCGAACGGCTACTTGTCAGTGATTTTCACTGCTCTGAATTTAGATTTAAGGGGTTGCAGATTAGCAGGTAACAATCCCCAAAACTTCAGCTTCCCATATCCCCCGATCCCCAAGACAATGATTTACCCGCCAAAAGTTTCGCGGGGTCGTATATGTTACCCAGGCAGCGGACATACCCATAAAATTTCAGCTTCCTAGCTTCCGTGGTTCCTGAGATAATAATTTCCACCGTCAAAACTTTTACGAGGCCGTACGTGTTACCAGCGGGTACGAGAAGACTGAATTTAAATTTGCGGAGTCACACGTGGGTAGGGAACATTCCCCTAGTTTTTCAGCCTCCTAGCTTATGTGATTCCT